AACAAGAATACCGAAGACTAGAAACGGTTTTGAAAACTTTTGTCAGGTAGTGATCGTCTTCTCAATAGAACATCTTTGATAACGTCTTCTGGCGTGAAAATTGTAAATAAGCAATCTGTATGTAAAAAACCACCTGTATGTAAATTGTAAATAAGCCATCTGTATGTCTTATATGTCTTAAATGACATGATGAATTGGAAATGGGGGACCCTGATGTAAACAAGACGAAAGTCTTTCTCTGGTCTGCATCCCCTTAACAATTGTATGTTTTGAGCTGTACTGTACTGTACCCAATATACAAGCTGTTAATAAACTTTTCAATCAATCAATCAATGGCCAATCAGAATCAAGATAACGGCGTGGTGTTGTTGCAGGAAGTCCCGACAGAGAATACTTTTGCTGTAGTACATCTCTATACATCGATACAACATTACGTGTTGATAGAAATCAACACGTAATGAAATAAGACCCCACGGTTTGATGATTGATAGGTGTGTGGGCTGTCTTTCATTTTGACACACAGAACAATGAGGGCTATCCACCCTTATCCACAATATGCATTCACACAGCCTCTTCCCTCTTCTTTCTGTGAGGAGCAGCAGGTTCAGCTCTCAGAACAAAGTAACAAAAAACTAAAATGGCATTCATTTTTTTAAATATGTCGTGTAGTAATAGATTTATTTATTTGTCTTCTCAAGAGAGTACCAGAATGTGTATTTTATGTTAGTATTTAAAAAAATCTCCTGGGGGAGAATCCCCCCAGACCCCCCTGCAGGGGTTGGGTTTTCAGCACGTCAACTCTTTAACCTGTGGGGAAGTTGCAGGATTGGCTCCAGGTCGCCCTTTTACTACAAGACAAATCATGTGCCTTTTTATTTCATACAGTTCAATTTGGATTGAGACAGGGAAATAATCTAAACCTCACGCGTGGCGTTTCACTGTCAAGGGGAGCGGGTATGTAATTACATTGCAAATACTGATTTGAGCCCCACCACTGTATGGGTTAGCCCTACCATAGATTACCCAACAAAAATACTCTCTCGCAACTGCCGACCCGTATTGCGCATGCGCAGATCTAAGATCCAGTAGAAATTATAACAAAGTAAAAGTCTGCTGCTTATTGTTCTACTAGGCCAAAATAGGGTCAAAGAGTATATGAAAGTGAGTGTGTTAATTAATATATTTGGCAGTTTGGAGTAAGTCTGTAGATTTGTGTGTGTGTGTTTCATGTATAGGCCTCTCACGATAATTAATTTTGTTGGATACATTTTCCCGGAAATTATTGCGATAAACGATAATATTGTCGGCACCGTTGTATGACCATTTTAGACCCCTGACATAATGATAATATATAACAGTAATTCAAGTACATCCTTTCAAACTGCTAGTCACATCCTCATGTAAATGGGAATTTATCGAGTTCATTTTATTTATCGTACGATAAGTCAATTAATTGCATATCGCGACAGGCACACAATAAAACAGTGGAAACAAACATGTGTTTGACTTTCATTAGTGAATGAAACTTTGTGCCCTTTATAGTCTGTGTCCAATATTGTGTATTTGTATATATTGTATATGTATCCTATATATATGCTAAGGTCCCGCTGCTGACATGATAGCAGTCATTTAGTGCGCATATGTGTAATCAAACCCATGATATCAAAATCTCACTCCAGCCAGGTACCTAAAGTTGGCAACCCTGACTTCTCTATGATTTATATCTTTAAATAGTAGACAAAACAAGACACACACATTTCTACACTTAACTGTCATTTTATGACCAAACAACTGAACGTTTGTTGAATAGTAATCACTGTAATAATCACTATATAAAATAATAATCAGTTCCTAGTTTACATGCAAATCCTAAATTAGCCAAAACCAAACTAATACAACACTATGAAAATACCTAGGTATGTTCCTTTCATATATAAAAATAGGGCAGTTATACATTTTTCAACATCAGATATGATATTTTACACACTAACACGTATTTACAAATGAAATTATTGTAGTAGTTTGACAGCATCTCTCTGTTAAAACAAATCTAATGAGAAACATTTTTTTTAAATACTTTTTTTAATTAAACAATTTGGTGGTTCAAGGTTTTCTAATAGCACTTCATCAATAGAGTTGCGGTCTTTCAGCTTATCCTCAGCCTTGTTTGAACAACTAACTAATCAGAGCAGTGAATGGTCTGCTTACGTACACTTCCTGTGGCAGCACTACATCTCTTTAATTAGCTCCATTTCTTTCATTGCAGAACAAACAACAGCATATGCCGCTTGGTGACAGGCGTCAGCGGTACACAAGGACAGGACAGGATAGAGCTGTGCCCGTAAACACCTGCCACATTCAAAATAGAAACATGATATGCAAAAAAAAAGCCAGTGTTAAAGAAAAAAAGGGGTCATTGAAAGTTTTCTACATTTCAACTGAAAGGCTTTCCCTTGCACTTTAGATACACATTGGTCAGATGATAATTCGAAAGTCATGTTACGTTTTACATTTAATCTCCTAACACTTTATGATTTCTTCAATACAAGAAATTTGCAAATCATTTTAAAAAAGAAAGTCAGTTTTATGGAGCAGTTATTTCTTTTAAAAACATGTACATGGATGTATTGTTACATTACATTTCAATCCTGTTACCACAGAGTTTTGCTTACAAACTCTTACTATCTACAAGTTGTCTTCAATAATGAAAACATAAAACATACACCCACACTTAGGAATAGTGATACAATTATTTCATTAATTTTAATTAGTAATTGAATTGTATACACAACATATCTTTCAGTTTTTATGTATAGGCAAACATGAGATTAATACAGTTATGAAAATAACTTAAAAGAGTGTTGGTGACGAAGGGGGGAAAATGTCCTGCTATTGACAAAGGCTGTACTCTACATCGAGTCCTTGCATCCTAACAGACACGGTGGTTGAAGAAGCAGAACCGGAAGTTAAAGCAATGCAAACACAAACGTCACCGCCTCACTTTTTCATGAGCAGAAAACATCAGTGTCTTTGATATTCTGTTTTCAGGAAGAGGAAAGTTTCATTGTGATTCTGTTGACAAGAGATAGAAAGCCAGGGGAACTCAGGAAATGAGGAGAAGGGGGCTTTGATTGCACCCAACAGCATCATGTGTCTTTATTAACACGCCTTGGCCAGGTGGTTGTGAATAGGCCGGGCCTTGGAATCAAAGGAGAGAGGACGTGGCGTTGCACATGCATTCTTCATGCCTTCATTATCCCTCCTCCTCTCCCAGCAACAGGTATTAAACCAGCGTCAGGGCCATTTTACACACTCAAGAGGTGTTAACATGGATTATCAAGCCTTCACAAAATAACACCTTGGAAACATCAGTCCAAATTTCAGGGTATGACTGAAGAACGCTTGAGAAGCCCAACAAAATATAAGAAAACATTCTTGTTATGTTATGTTTTCCCTGATGAGACTTGATCCCAGGTTAGCCTGTTCAAACAGAAATGTATATTTCCTATAAAATTCCTTTTTGAACCTTATTAAAATGTGCAAACACAAGATATGTATGAGCTTCATGGCTACATCATGCAATCATTTGTGAAATATTATTTCCAGTTTACATAAGAGCTTGTACCGGATGTGAATTGTCTTACAAAATTCTGAGACAAAAATAGAACACATTTCACTGTAAGGCAAAATGTCAGTGAACAGCGAGTTGTGTGGGCAAACTGAAAAATAAGTAACTGACATCCAGCATCAGCGTCAGACAGCCCTGATACGCCTCAGTGCCTTTGATGTGAATAAAGCACTGAGTTTCTGCTTGGAGTCAGGTCATATCAAGTTACTGTGAAGAATGGCAGACTGACAATGAAGTTTGGCAGGGAAGCAGGAAACATCCGGTCTTCATCCTGATCTCTGTGACATGACACGCCCGGGAGCCCGGCCTGAAGACAGAGCCACCCAACAAAGTTTAAGTCACTGGCCCCGAGCAACCTTGAAAGGCCAAACATGATTACATCTACATCGCTCTAGCCATTTACAGAACAAACAGGACATGACTCGCAGATCAGGGCACCAGCCACCTATGTGCATCACACGTCTAGTCAAGGTTCAGATCGTGTCTGGAGAAAGCAGGATTAAATAAGACCGTTTTTTTCCGATAGGGGGATCTCTCTCAAGCCCTATGACCATCTCGGGATTTCCATTATAAAGAGTGTTCTACATATCAATCCAAGCTTTAATTAAAAAGCTGCTATATTCACAGAGCCTTCTTAAGCTTGCTGGAAATGCGCAGGTTGCCCTGCTCTTCTTCATGAGTGGGCGAAATGGTGCATTTGGGAACCAAATGAGCTCGTTGTTGCCAGGCTCGAGCCTTTCATCTAATTTTATTGTCGTTACCGAGTGACTGTCACCCTCTGGTAAACACTTGATGTGTCATCAGCATTAGTACCATTACTCATATGCTTGGAAAAGTGACTCAATACAAGGTCAATGCACTTTTGTCTTGTATAGAAATATATATGTTCCTCGTTAAACAAAGCATGAAGAAATAATAACAGCCTGTGATTGATGTGTTTAATGATCGGCCTATTTTTGGTTAAAGATGTCATAAAAAGCTGCAGTGAAGACTGATATGGTCTATGTCTGACAGACACTAATGAGAACAGAATAATATAGAGCCAAAACAATGCTATCATTGTATGTAATTTAATGTAAAATATACAAACTGTTTACTGAACCGGTGTTCTGTGGAGTACCAGAACAAAGGGATAACATGTAATTGTTTAGATGTTAATTTGTAGATATTGTCATAGACCAGTTAGAGTACATTGTTTATGGGAATGAAACCATTTCAGTTTTGAGTTAACCATTTTTTGAAATGTGTTTTATGTCTTCTATATATTTATATTGCATTTTTTAGGAACCTGTAACCCAAGTTTTTCATTAACTCGTTGTGTATGACATTAAACCTTTTGAATCTGAATCAAAATGAGTATTTTCAGTCTGTATGATTACATCCTCCAGATTTATTCATATTTATTATTTAGAAAACAGATTAAATTCTCGATTGGAAAGATTGGGTCGATGCAATGGTGGAGATTGTATCTGGGTTTATGCTCAGAACATTGCAAAGTATAGGCACACGACTTCCTTTTTAAAGATGAGGCCAAAAAAATGGATTGATTCATTTGATTGCAGACTAAATCTCTCACCACTGTATGAGTTTCTAATTGTAATTTATTTAACTTTATTATTTTTTTTTATTGCCTTTTGTCGGTGAGGGACTCTCCCGATTGCCAAGATCATGATAATAATTCAGTAAAAATGTCTATGCAAAAAGAAAGATCTTTTATTAAAAGACTGTCAATTATTTCATAAAAAAATATCATTCAAAGAACAGAAACAGAAACACAATTGAATTTTGCACCAAAGAGAAAAGACACAATGTCTGAAACACTGTCCACTCATGATGTCTCTGACCCTGTGGGACATCCTCGTCTAGTCTTTCCAGTGGAAATCCAACTAGCACGACCTGAAGCAGGATCTTTTGTTGGAAATAGAGGCGTCTATAAAAAGCAGCGATGAGTCTGGACGAGTGCTGAACACTGATCGGCCTCAGACAGGAAACTGTTTCCTCACCACGTCTGCCATTTGGGGATCAACCTGAGACAGCATGGCCTGCAGGTGCTGAAACTACACAAGAGGAAGAAGGGTGGGGTGGAAACTAAATGTTTATTTTCCACTGGAGCTGGAGGCGTATAGCGGCAGTCCATCACACGTCTAAACCTAAAATAAGCCCTAAAATTGTTTGCACAGAATTAGGCCATAACAGAAAAGTCAAGGTGTCATTTATTTGAACCAATACATCTATTTGTAATATTTTGATTTGATTTGATTTATTTCGAATGTGTAAAACAATAATACAAAAATCTAACATGAGAATGATTATACAATACAAAATTAAGCAGTGTCAAATTGATATACAAAAATATTACTGATTCTAAATTATATATAAACAATATACATTTACAATTGTTTTAAACTTGCATGACAAATTATAATAGTATATTTATTTCAACTCTAAGTTTATAGATATTTAAAAAAAGGAAAAATCTGCAAAATGTAAGAAGCTGTAACAAATCATCTCATATTTGTACCTTGAACAATAATTTTTTTAATCAAATTAATTATTTGCTAAAATATACCCTTCCCTGGCTATTGACTTTTTCATACTAAACGTTCAACATTAATAACATTAGGAGAAAATGCATACTTCGACATTAGATGAGAAGTTTAAACTGTTATGTGGAAACTTTTAATCTAAAGTAAAAAGCATACAGGATGATTTAAGTTGCTCCAAACTAATTTCATAAGACTTTTATGAAATAAATCACTTACTGAAGTCTTAAAGTTGGGAACCAAAGTGCCCTGCAGCTGAGAGAGCAGTCTTCTCTGTAAGATGACCTTCCTTCACCAAATCTGCCACGGTGTCCTACAAAGGACAACAAATACAAATTTGCATTAAAGAATCTTAGTGAGAAACCTGAACTAACAAAACATTTCCCTTGTTTTTTTTACCTGGGGAATCTGAATGCAGATGTCAGCTAGAAACTCAGCTGTGATCTCTGCTAGGGTCTGCAGCTGTTCGTCTTTTGTGGCGTCTCTGCTGGTAGCGTCATCTTTGCCCTCACTTTGGTACTGAAGCACCCGCAAAACGGTTCCAATTAGGGAAATACCTGGAGGAAAAAGACAACTGAAAGTAAAATTCAAGCCACTATATATACGTGTTTGGCTTTTAGCTTTTATTGATGGACAGGACTGATGGATTGAAAAGTGTAGCGATAGGGAAGATGCAGCAACAACAAAAATGATCGATTCAAACTCAGGCTGTTGATATAAGGACTCAGCATTGGTACATGGGGCCAGGATATTGTCATATCCTTCCATTTCAATTTAAAAACAATTCTGAAATGCAACCATTTATAGAAAAAGTCTCAAGTCCAAAGTAAACTGACCAGAAAATGACATGATACACTGAACCTATATTAGGGCTGCTACAGGCATTTAAAATGGTACATCTCAGGGTTGATTTCACTCTGGTATGGAACGTACTTATGTCACTTCTGTCGCACCACTGCTCCTGGCATCTATACAGAGCCTGGAGCACAGCGAAGGCCTGAACCAGGATGCTCTTCTGCTCCTGCAGGACAACAGGGAGATCCGTTGGCTGGCAGAGATCCTCACACACAACGTCACTGACAAATTCCCACACTGCTTTGCCGGGTCCATCAGGTGCAGCTAGAAGACACAAGGAAACAACGCCTTGCCTGTTGAGAGGTCACTTCAGGCTCCTGTTTTATATGGTAACAACTATTGTGAACACTTCTGTAACGATGTGCCGCCAGCTGAGCGGAGATAATAACTGTGTTGATCGTTCTTACCAAAAGTCTGAATGCCCTCATCTATGGTGGTGAGGAGTTGGAGGGTGTGAAGGTAAACCTCCAAGCCATTCGGACTCTCTGATCTGTGAAAGAATACTGAGCGTCAAACAAGTCTTTAACATCATTAAGTACTTATTTTGATTGTCCAATAATAAATAATAGGTTTTTTTTTTGTATGGACAAAGCAAATAAATATAGATGTCAATCCAAGCATCCTACTGGGATAAAGCCTACTGTTGTTTATTATTTCTTCTCCCTTTCTGGATTTACTTATCTTCTTCTTAATTTTGTATTTTCACATGTTGTCCTTTTTATGATTTGGAAATTACTGACATTGGTTGTTGCTTTTTGTCGTTCTTATGTCAAATTTGCCTATATGAGTATTCATAAAACGGTAAGAAATAGAAAAAGGTTGGGGGGGAAGCAATAATACAAATATCAGCAGATATACAAGTAAATTGCATCAATGTTATTTATGATTTATGAATATGAATAAAGAGCAATTGAAAGCATTTATTTTTTATAGATACAACACAAACTCCTTGTTACGGAGCCCCCTAGGGGTAACATATAACTTTTCATTTAGCTCAATGTACTTCCTGGTCAGTTCGGCAACACAGAAACCACAACAATGAAGCGGTTCACTTACTTTGAGCTTGGCCTTAAATATAAAATATATAACATCAGTGCTTGGCAATAGGCACGGGTTTCACATAAGTGAAAGACACCTCAAGAGAACACTGGGGAGGGGACATGCACGTCGCAAAGCATACTCTGAGCTGAGTTATAGACAGATTCGAATTTCGCGGATCAATAACTCATGAACATAACGTTGTAAAAATACAAACAACATGACTTTACAATCATAGCAAGGTAGATAACGAGCTACAGAGTCGTTTTTATCAGAACAGTTCGATACGCGCCGTCATCCGAGCTAAACTTCAAGAATTGGTCACAATCTGCAGCTGGAGGGTAGTACCCCTCAATGCAGTGCGCAATGCCTCAACGTCTCAACGTGGGCGGGAGCTCAACCTTTCTCAACCTTTGAGGCACGTGACGTCCCGACTCCCGTGTTGTGTACTTACCCAGTCACAAAAGTAACATATTATATCTTATATTATTAATATATATATAATGATACCGGTAATATAATGATACCTTGAGGTCTGTGTTACATTTGAGTTTAAATGCAAACTTTTGAACTAACTTGATGGCGAGTGATCTGTCGCCAGGGCAACGGCATTTAAAAATGTAAAACTCAAATTAAACACATTAACAGCCTTCATGCATGGTTATGAACACATGAACACAACTACATCATAAGGGAGGGGAGGAAAAGATGGGGATTCAAAAAGGAAATGGAGAAAAAGAGAGAGTTTAAAGGAGAACTGATTAGAAGTGGCAAAAATAATACTAAGGGGTAGGAGAGGTTTTGGGGTTTAGGTTTGGGAGGGAGGAAGGAAGATTAGGATTAGGATTAGGTAAAAAGGTTGGGAGTGGTTAGGGTTAGGATGGGGGAAGGGAAGGTTAAGATTGAAGGGAGGGAAGAGAACTACTACCCGGGAAACAGGATGCAACGCGTCATCTGTGAAGCTTAAAGCACCCAGATATTGTTCTAAACTGTATTAAAGTAAACAGGTATTATCTTGAACTGTATTGAAGTGAACATGTATTAGTTGGGACTGTTTAAAGTAATCCTATATATCTAAACCTTGCTATGCCTTCCTTGCTGGGAATAATCCGAAGCACCAATATTTCTGTGTACAATGTTTGATTGTTTTAAAAGAATAGTTGGTGTGAAATCTTCCCTGGGAAATTAAAGGAGTTATCCCAGGTATAAGATACAAAGTGATTCTGACCTTGTATAGTTCCGATGCTGTCACGCTCTGTTCAGAAGAAAGATACTTTTTCCCAGAACTCTAATTCGCTTAGGAGTAAAATGGGACGGAAGAGCCGACACACATCTCGGCCCCAAATATGTCCATATATACTGTTGTTTCTTCATGCAAAATGCCCCCTGTTTCTGACTGGCTGGTCCCGATATCTGTATCGCACGGCAGTAGAGCGGGGAGCCCGGAGTGTTCTGTTTCAGGGCACTCTGTATTTCGTATTGTGTTTTTTTACTGTATTAAAATCAGATTATTGTTATAACTTTTATGCCGGTGTGTTGAACTCCCTCTTTTATCAATCTGACCAGGCTAATCTAACGGACGGCGCGGAGCAGAGGTGGGCTTTAAGCCACAGATATTGTGTTTGCTCCTACAATCTGGTGACCTGCCGACGTGATGAGTGCTGGTCTCTAGGAGTACCACCGACAGCCAGCGGACGAATTTCAGTCCAGGGGAGGACACCTGCACACCGTTGACAACTAAATCAGGACGTCCAGATACAAAGGTGATCAGACACCTGTTGATTGTCAAAGTCTGTGATTGGCTATACTACAAAAAATTTAGAGTTGTCAGCGGCGTTCTCAGTGTCCTTAGTCATGGTAAAAAATACAATACTGAATAAAGTGCTTAGTCAGGTATAGAGTCCTGCAGCTAAGGCACTGAGTGTTTGAAGAGTCTGGTATAGAGTCCAGTACCTTTAACTCACTAAAGTAAGAAGGGGCTTAGAGTCAGGTAGAACAGTCCGGACCTAAGGCACCGAGTTAAAGTGCTTAGTCAGGTATAGAGTCCTGCAGCTAAGGCACTGAGTGTTTGTAAGAGTCGGGTAAATAGCTATAAGTCCCGTACCTTAATTCACTAAAAAAAAGAAAAGAAAAAAAAGTGAACCAGCGAGAGCGTGAGGTAGTTTAGTCCGGCACGGCTGACTCGCTGGGAAAATTCTGAAGACTATAGACTGAATATTATATGTGGGTTTTCAAGAGGAGATACGCAACTTTCAAAATCAATTTGAAACGACCGGATTTCGCAAACTCTTGCTGTGGGGGTGATCTGAACGGCTAAACGTGACGATAAAGGATTTTTTTGGTTTGGGTTAATCTCCTTGTGTCGGTCGCATCTCTATATAGGGGTGTCGAAGTACCGGCAAAGACCAGAATTATCTGTTGAAATATACATCGCACAAAAAAAGCCGGACAGAATGTATAAGGGAATAAACTCTGTGTGATCTTTTTACGTCGAATCTGTGTAATAATTGAGAAAATAGAGCATAGCAGGAGATACAGGAGACTTTGCAGAGCTGAGAGCTTCGTCAAGACAGAGGAAGCTCATTTGTGGTCAGCTGCTGCCCTCTGGTGGCGAACAGGGTGTAACAATATTCTGGGATTGGAACTCTGAATTCAGAATAGAATAGAGGACGACAAGATTTGTCCAGTGTATTAATAAATACAAGTAATTTAGTCAGATAATAGATACGAAGTCAATTATGGAAGAAGAGTAGACCCTTTGTTTCAACCAGAAAAAGAGCAAGCTATTCATCACAATTGTATTTGTATGTTATGAATAAAACAAAAAGAAGTAGCCTAAGTGATAAGCAGAAGGGTTTTTGAACGCTTGTCAGTCTGAAGGAATCTATTAATGTGTAAGACAGGGGTGCTTATGCCCGCTTGGGTTTTCAATGTCCGCCATCACGTTAAAACAGAGGATTGGTGGCATTTTCAGTTCATTGCTTACTTCCACACGCCTTTTCCCCTCCTTGTCTCTTTCATGACTTTATTTAATGCATTAGAACGATTGCTATCGTAACTTTCCGTGTTTCTGGAAGTCAAACTCACTGTTCACATTACGGAGTATATTTCCGGAACGGCCTTTCAAAATAAAAGCCACAGGCCGCTGTGCACCAGAGATGCCTTCACAATAAAACAGTGATTAGCTTAACAATATATTTAACTTATATTACGTCCTTAAACATTGATTTCAATTCATTACAGTTTTCAAATACGGCGCGGATTGAATACAGTTATTTGTGTATTCTGTTACAACCTCACCATGCTTGTAACACAACTTAGATAAACAATTTGAAAATGAATAGCATTAACCAAGTAGATAAAAGATTAGTTTAGTGGTTAAGGAGGGTGTCCTTGTTTTGCCTATTAACTTAGAACTGAAGTAATAAAGAATAGGCAGACTACTACCATTAGTTTGTTTTAACATTCACATGTTTCAGCATTCCTGACCTCAGCCGTTTTATTTTGTAACCCGTTGGGAGAGAGATTTAAATTGAGTTTTTCTCAGTAGCTGAATGTGATTACAGCAGCATTGGATATTCCTGCACCACCTTTTGGGTTCTCTGAATCAGTGTGTTGGTGAAGAATTGCTCACTGCAAACAGAAGAAGTTTGCAAAGAACGCATCTCTGAGGAGATATTGACATTTTTCGTTGTCAAGGCAGCAGTGGTGTGAAGAGGTACTGCGGTTTTGGGGGATTTCTGCTGTACAGAGGACAACGTGTGTCTGCCAAGTGATTCCTTCCCTCATCCCAATGCCAGGGAGAGTTTCCTTGGAGCCCACTGACCAGGGCCGGTCCTAGCTTTTTTGGGGACCCTGCCACTGACTACAGCTGCATCACTGACTGTGCTCATTATGACAATATCCTGAGACATGCTTGTCTCAGATTGTTCAGACTCTGAAGGAGGGATGCAATGATTTTACAGCATAATTGTGCAAGAGTTTCCCGGGTGGTGGTGGAGAAACCTTAATGCTTAATGTTTAGATAAGAGGCTGCTTGTTTAAATGATGTTCTGGAATACTGAAAAGATTAAAGTTTAATATTCTTGGTTAGCAAACAAGACATCTGATTATTATGTCACACATAATAATCTTGTTATAGAAACTAGCTATGTGTAAAACGTGTGGTTGTTATACCATTGTTATCATGAACAAAAGATAAATAAGGAAATAGTATCTGCTTAAAGATGAACGGATTTCATAGAGAGGATTAGTTATTGTGAATACTCCACAAGGTATCTACTAATGTATTTTAAAGAACCAAATTTAAAGAACTTGAATTGACTTGATAAATAAGTGAAGATAAGAAGATGTATTAACCATGAATTAATCAATTGGTAAATGAAAAATAGCGGTAAAGAGGAAAACTATTAGAGTGAAGTGAAAAATCATCCTAAAACACACTGATGGAAA